TAAGATCAGAACCAGTAAGACGAAGGAACAGAGAACTGCCGAGCCAGAATGAAGAAGTCCTGGTAGCGGAGGAAGACTACCACTCCACTGATGGAGGGGACGCCCCCGCCCCCAGACCAGAGACCACCACGACTACCACAGCGCCGCAACCACTACCTGAACGCAAGCGTAGAATCACTCAAGTGACCCCACCGACCATCGGAGAACTAGCCGTCGTGATCTATGATTTAAAAGACGAAATCAGGAGACTACGACAGGACGTAAGGGCCGAGAAGAAGCTGAGGGAGCAGGAGAAGGTAACCACCAAAGCCCTATTAAACGACATGGTGGAAGCATACACTGGCATGACCACACTGACAAAGGAGAACCACGTGAAACTGACCAAGCAGGTAACAGATATGGTCAATGAACTAGCCAAGAAGCTACAGGAACCGACCACCCACTACTCGACTACGAGACAGGCTCCTCGACCGTTGACTACCAGTCAGACCAGGAAGAGCTCCACTTCACACAGCCCAGACACAACTTCTGAAGCCACCACAACTCGCAGAGGACGAAGTACCACCAAGCAGACTACGCGACCTTTAAACTCCAGGACCCCGCTACCCTGGAACAAAGTAGCGGGGACCACTGCCATACCCACCAGAGTTGGACGGAGGAAAGACCAGGTAGTCATCAACGACCACCCAGCGCTACCAGAACAGACCACCCCCACGGAGATTACCCTGGACAGCAACGACAGGAAGGCCCTATGGGAACCAAAACCACCACAGACAGTGGAAGTGACTGCCGTAACCCTCGACCGAGTAAAACCCCGGCAAATGTATCCGGCGAAGGAATGGAGGGTCCTCCTAAAGAAGCACGATGTGCACCCAGTTGCCATCTGGTTCCCGTGGAGGACCTCAGTAGAGATCCTAGTGAGGACCGAAGAGCTACCGAAGCTGAAGGCGCTCACAGCTGCAATGAACCGCGAAGCACAGATACTCGACCCGACCAAGAGGAAGGACGGACAGCCGGGACCTCTCTCTCAAGCAGCGATCACCACGGCCGTCAATATCAGGCTGAAAGATCTACAATACGAGCGGCACTGGACTGCCAGACACTACCTCGAGCAAATAGTCAGAAATCTGATAGCGCTACTCCCGGACGATCTGAACAAAACGATGCTGTACCACAAACTGAACACGGCCACAGCACCGCCAACTGCCAACGACGATACAACAGACAACCCGTTCCTACCCAGCTAGCTGATGACACCTTTATGGAGTGCGCAAGCCAACAACCCCCTCTAACCATAGTCGAGCCGATGACCGAACCAAATGCTCACCCGCAGCTTCCTACACTCCGTGATAGGAACAGATCGAAACACTACTGCGTGATGGCGATCAACGTCGACGGCTACAATGACAAGAAGGAACTACTGATGAGGAATACCATACTGCGAACTAGACCCCATGTAGTCATACTCTCCGAAACATGCACTAACCTACATCGCACAGTATATAACGGCCAATATACTGTAATAGGAACCTCCGGGCCAGCCGATGGTGTAGCAGTCATGATTAGACAGGATGTGCAATACCACATTACAAACAAAACCACGCGGATTATCTCGTTGCAGCTAGATGATCTCGTAACCTGCATTGGCACATATGCACCAACCGAACAGACCGCCGACAAGATCAAAGTGCAATACTGGGAACATCTAACCCGACTGATTCCGACTGACAAGCCACTACTCATCGCCGGCGACCTCAACGCTGGGCATGAAAAGACCGAAGCTAGAACCATTAAAGGCATCCCGAACTATACAAGACTCCGAACACTCGCTGGTCAATTCAATCTTAATATACTACCAACCCCGCCTACCTGGATATCCAAACGGTCCAAAGATCAGAGACCCACCCGAACCCTCGACCGTATACTAACAAATACTACCACTAAGCCTACCGATACTGAAGTACTACTTGACTGGGAGAATGCCCCCGCAGACCATGCAATACTAACTTACAAATGGAACATACACTCGATTGGTTATGACCAAGGACGACCTAAGAACGCGCACTTTGCCAGGTATGATGGCAAACGCGACTACAGCGAACCGACCACCCAAGCCTGGAACAAGCTCAGGGAGCAGCTCAAAACCCACTTTCGCAAATGGTCTTTACAGACGCCCA